TTTAATATCTTAAAAATATATTTAATATATTTAATATATATTTTAATTAATATTTTATATATTTTTAAAATAAAAAAATATAAAAACTAAAGCATCAAGCAGCGGTAAAGTCAGAGAGCTTGTAGGGCCCAGCTCCCTACAATATTGAAAAAAAATTTAATTTAATTATAAAATAAAGAATTGAAGTGTATCTGCTCATTATTAAGTAAAAACAAGATAAATTTAAAGTTAATTGTCAATTATATCAAAGTATACACTTAAACTCATACTCTTTTGTTTTGTCATTCAAAATATAACTACATCATTTTAACACATATTATCACAATAAACTTATAATTTCTTTCGTTAAAACATTCAGAGTTACTGATTGTTATGATTATTAATTTTTTTTGGCTTTAGACTTTATATTATTGCTTATTTGACTTTTGATCTTCTTAATTATGATGGCTAATTGATTATATTATTTAATTTTTAATTTGTTTGGGAGAGAGGTTTTGATTTTTTAATTAGTTTTTTTTTTCTAGTGAGGAAGTACTTTTGTCAATTTCAAACTGTTGTGAGTTTATGCTAATAATCTTTTTATTTTATTTTAAACCTATTCTATGATTATTTGCCAATTTTGTCAACAAATATTTTAGTTTTTGGGTTCAAATTTTATATTTATTCTTATATTAGTCCCTTACAATGCAAATTTAAATTTGTGTGCTTGATTTGTTTTATCTTGTTTTATTTCAATTTACAATCTAATATATTTACACAAATTACTCTGTTTCTAAAAAGGTTTTGATTTGTTTTAATCAATTTACCAAGCTTTTCTTTTTAGGCTTCTATTTACTATTTTGTTTATTATGATTATTTATTGTTTTATTTTTTAAAATTTTGGAATTTGGGTTTTTTACATATTAATTTGTAGAACTTTGATACTTGTATTAGAAGAAATAAAGTTTGTTTAATTTCATTCTCCTTTATCATTTTTTTTATCTATGTTTATATTTTTTCATTGTTATATTTTTATTTTTTTATTAGTTTTAGAGTATTTTTTATTTATAATTTATAAGTCATTTTAATAATAAAATTATGAATGTTCACAATTCATTTAACTTGAAATAAATTCTTTTATAATTTATAGTTGTGCCTTGTCTAGTTTGAGCTCAGTAGCCCCGATAAAGGTACATAAAAGAAAAGTTAAAAATCCAATTGGTCCTTAAACTATTATACGGACCTTTGATTTTGTCCTTAAAATTAAAAAATTTTTGATTTGGTCCTTACTGTATATCATTTTTACCCTGATTTGGCCATTATGTTAATTTTTCACGTTAATTAACGGCTAAATACAAAAGAAACATCACATGTCACACAAAAAATTGCCAAGTTGGCAAAAATAAATGATGTGGCCATTCCAACTCATCCCAACAAAAACATTTTTTTTTCCTTCCTCTCTTTCATCTACCCTTTCTTCAACTTTTGCAAACCCTAATATCTCAACCAATTTGTAACATCTAAACCAATTTATTCATTTCAATCAATTTCTACTCTTATTGGGTTCATCATCATCATCAAACAATAAAACTCCTCAAAAAAACAAAATTTTATTTAAAAATTTTTTGCTTATTGATTTTTTCGAACCCACCAGGCATGCTGGGTTCAAAGGAACCTAGCAGCACCCTTTCTTTCTCCTTCCACTTCCTTACCTTGCCTTCTTCATCAATCAATTCTTCATCTTCATCAATCAATTCTTCATCATCAT